AAGGCTGCCTTCTGCTCTTCTGCCTTACTTCACTTTACACCTTTGTGAGTCAGTACCCAAATGGGCGTCATGATTTCGATAAGTCTTGGAAAGAACCGGCTCAAATAATTCACCATGAAGTTTAAACACCTAACAGTCTTGACGTCCTTAGGTTGTGGCATCTCCTGCACTACCTTGACTTCTTCCAAGATGGATCCTTATTCTTCCGGATGTCAGAACGCGACCGTTAAAAATCACTTCTGGTTTCCGGAGTTCAACTTCCTCGCGTTTAAGCTTTATGTTCTTTTGCATGCATCACTACAAAAAGTGGTGCAGATTGGCGTCATGTTCTTGTTCAGCTGAGCCGTAAATCACTACATGGTTTGCTACTCAGGTTACACCGTCTAAATCTTCAACAGCTTACAGCAACCGCTTTTGAAAATTTTCGCTGGAAACCTTCAAATCAAACGGTAAACGTAATCATGGAATCGCAAACGTCGTCAGGAAACTGGATTCCTCATCTAGAACCACGTGCCGGAATGCCGATTAGAGATCAATCCTGGTAAAGTACTTCGCCTTAGCCAAAGACAGCACGACATCTAAATCTGGCAGTGTACAGTGTTCTCTACCATTCAACGGCTTAGGATTTATGCACAGACACAAACCACCGTTGTTTTTCGTAACAATCGCGACTTGGCTAACCCAGTCTGCCGCCTCGTCGATCTTAGCGATTACGCCCAATTGCGTCAAGTTACTTAATTCGGTGGCGAACTTATCACGTAATGCAAACGGAACCCTTTTAGCCGGCAGCGCAATCGGTCATATCGGCGGATCTAGTGACAAATGAACGGAACCTTCAAACCTCCCCAAACCTAGGTTAAACATGGATGGATACTGTTCACTAACACCTGTCTCCGCTTCACATATATGCACAAAACGGTCATGGTTAAAATGAATAAAGTCAAGACATTGGAAAGAATCAATGCCGACAATCGGCGTGAGCTGTTCCTCAACGGCCACAAAATCCAACTGATGTGAAGAGCCGGCTTTGGGATTCATCCCTTTGACTGTGGCCAAACCTTTCGGCTGGAGGTTGGAACCGTTCCACATATGCAGGACTCCCTTATCAGGTCGCACACGAATTTCTAGGTACCGCTTCGCTGGAATTATGTTTATGGTGGCACCTGAGTTCAAGTGGAAACGCACCATCTCGTCACCAACCAATAAACTTGCATAGACCTACTTCTTTGGTCTTGTACGCGACACGTTGCTGATAGATGTTTAGAGCCGGATGGCGTTGTGTCACGATTGAGCGCATTCACCTTCAAAGGCTGACAACATTGAGCGAAGTCATTCCGTCTGCCGCATCTGGAGCAAATTCGGCCCCACGCCGGACGTTGATGGCGATCCTTCGGATGTCGCGCGGCGCAGAATTTGCAATTTTCGTGTGTCTCGATAACGGGCTTCACAGTTTTGTCAGGTAAACTGGATACGGCACATAGCTCTGCTTTATTCGGCAACCGCATATGCTGGGTGTGGTGTGCAGCTGATGATTCACTGTGGCATATATCAAGACATGTTCTGAGTGATAACTGCCGTTGCCGCAACAGCCGCTTGGTGATGTTTTCATCATTGATCCCCAGCACGATTCTATCTCCGATGAGACTGTCAGCCATACAATTGCAAAAATTACTGGAACGATCCAGAATCTTCAGCTCCTTAACATAATTCTCGATAATTTCGTTTGGGCGCCGGTTCCGGGTAAAATAGCGATACCGCTGATACGTCTCGTTAGTCTGGCCTTCGCAGAAATCATCGAATTTTCGGACGATCGTTTCCAAATCAGCTAGGTCTTCGTGCTTTTCGTACTGCATCGTTTCCGAGAAGCAGTGTGCTTCATCTCCGATCGTATGTCTAAACCTCACCAATCGACACGACATCGGGTGTTCATTCAGCCGACGCACTTACTTTTCCAGATTCTCCAATTATCAGCCAAATTCTCTTTTTCCATGTTTAGTGGGGTAGGTGGTTGCACAGCTGGCTGAGCCCCAATCAGCAACTGAGCATTATCTGGTGATCTTGGCTTGGTTTTTTCTGACACCATGTCGCAAAACTCGGTCATTCATAAGCAAACGTTTTATTCGGCAAATCGACCTCAGCGAAGTTGACAGCCTGACAAGCATTTAGGAACCTCGATATAAATAACTAAATAACTTCCATAACTAACGACGCTGCTGCACTCATGAAATTCTTCATTTGAATCCGGTAAACGAACCCGCTCCAGTGAGTCCAACCAGTGCGTAGACGAAATATGTGTAACTGCCCAACCAACCGCTCAGTTTACTTGCGGCACGCTTACCGCTTGCTTGTACAATCCTATCACAAGATGGCTGGCAACAGTGATGTTGACAATTTTCATCCTATAAATTCCACCACATCGGGCTAGATACTTCGCTGATCTGGCAATTACTTTAAAGTCCTTACTCAGGTGGCCAGGAAAGATAACTGCAGAGCAATGGGTCCAGTAGGGAAACACACATGCAGTGATAAAACGCTGGATCAAAAATCAGGGTACGGCAGTTGACCTGAGACGTGTAACATAGAAGGAGAATATTCTGACGCTGGTGAATGTTTTGTTCACGTGAAGGGATCACGTAAGCCTTCTGCTCAGCGACATTCTCAGGCATTTTACTTGAGTAGAAGAGGTCAAACATTCGCCGTCAATGCCAAGTTGTGGACATTGTGTCAGCATTTGTTGGTAGCACTTATCTTTGAATAGCGTATAAAGGACATTCTTGCATTTTGAGGTGTTCAACGGGATTTGGACCAAGCTGTGAGGTTGTCCAACAGGCATTGTAGCATACCGACGACTCTATGCTTTGATGATGGACGTCCAGGATTACATCGTCCGGGTACTTTAGCAGGATGGCTTCTGCAGCGACGGGTATGGAGGTAACGTAAGTGACAAACAAGAATAGGGACAAAATGGCTCCCTGAAGAACACCAGAGTTCGCAGTGATTGAACAAGAGTTTATCCCCTTTAACCTGGTAAATTGGATACGGCTGGTAAAATAATCTTTCAACAGAAGTACGACAGAAGTTTGGACTCCGGAACCTAATAGATCGCGCAACAGTACTTCACGGTTCACACAACCGAACTCGTTGCTAAAATCCAAGAAGCAGATGCGGATGAATTTGTTTTTATTGTCCAGTGGTGAGAGCATGGTTTGTACCAAACATGCTACCGCACATAAAGTGGACCTTGAGCTGCGATATGCAAACTGATTTGGGTCATCTACATGGGTCTGTGCTGAGATGCTTTCAAGAATAAGCCTCTCGAATATCTTAAGGGCAACCGGCGTGCATGCGATCGGCCGATATTTGCAGGTTCCCTACTTTGGCACTGGTGTAATGCTTGTGCTTCGCCAAATGTCAGCTATTTGAGGCATTGCTTTACATGTATAAACTTGAATAACATGTGACCTCACGCTTTCAACTTATTGATGTTTTTCTCACGTTATCACTTGATATGTTGTCCGTTTGAAAGTGGACAGAAGGCACGAAATGGTATCATCTTGCAACATTGGTATTTTATTGTGCCATTCAAATGTCAGCTATATTGTGCTGCTTGAAACACAGTGTATACAAGTCGGCGAGGGACTCTGACAGGTAATCTGCACAATCCTTGAGAACCACAGACGACAATTTATCCGGACCAGGTGTTTTTTAATCTGCAGCCCGATTAATTCTCTGTGTACCTCTAGGCTGTTCACAGAATGAGGTATATTTGAGGCTAGCTGTAACCCAACAAAGGATATGCCAAAGGATGGAGTACTATCTTTGTCACAAAAATTGGGGTTTAGTTTTTTTACATCAGGATTTGAATGCTTGACGTCTTGGGCGACCCCGCTTAATTGTTTTAACATTTTCCAAAGTTCATGATAAGTATTGTTTTCAAGTATGGCTTAAACGTAGATATCGTTAATTCGACGCAATTTGCTTTTTATCTCAATAGATAGAGACTATGCTGATGTAACGCCGGCGTTTCAAAGCCATTTCTTTAAGTACACTGAGAGGAGAAACTGTTGACACAGATATAAATTAGTTCAACTGGACAACAGGTGTCGAAGCAGAAGTTTAAGTAACTAGTTAACTGGTCACAGTGTGTCGATACGTCCGCATCGTGAAATAAAGTAAAGTCAGTGGAGGCAATTGTTTCACGCAGTCGCTGAAGGCTCTGGGAAAGATGTATCCTCCGCCTGAACTTTCGACCGTTGCAACGGATGAAATCTTTATGTTACGTCTTTCTATGGATAACGGGAGTTAGAATTACGATGGCTTGAGCAAAGCCCCCAAGCGGTGCCCGATTACAAACAGAAAAAGCTTTTAGGCTGCTAATAAATGCCATGTTAAATATTGCATCTAACTTGGTTGGAGATTGCACAACGTTCTTTAACCCGAGGCTGGCAATGAAGCTGGCGTCAGATCTGTTAAATTCACCGGCAACTATGCACAATGAGGGTTCCAGGTATTCGAGGAGCACAGCTGTAAATCCGTCGTAACCTTCTTCAACTTCGTGGTTTGGACAGCCGGAAGAGATATAAACATTAGCCAATAAATTCGAATGATAACCGTCCAGCAGTCTTGGTTTACAATTTACGATTAAGCAGCTGATGCGTTGCGGACTGTACTAAAAGATGCTTTTAACTGACGGTCACCATGATGAGTGTATATACATGGTGACGCAACCTCCGCGGTTCCTCTGTCTACATTGGCAGTCAACACTCAGAGTTACATCCGTAGAGTTCCAAAACAGCATCCTCAACATCAATGTGAAGCCAGGTCTCCTGCAGCATACTGATGCCCAAACGAGAATTTTCCTGACCTGTGAGAATACTTCAGTGGTCATCTAATTGTCCAAGTAGCGATCGAACATTAGCACTGAGTAGAACAGGTAGACTCATACTTCCGAGATGTTTCTCTCTAAGTGAAACCCATCATCCTGCTCCGTGCTTCTGTGTATGGTTCTTTTGCCGCTTTTTGATTCTTTTTGTACTCCTCATCTGTTGTGTACCTCTCTCAACGGGGGGGGGGGGGGGGGGGGGGGGGAGGGGGGGGGGGGGGGGGGTTGGGTGGGGTTGGGGGGGGAAGCAGCAACAGGAAGCCTAAAAGGGGGGCTTAGAGAATGCAGAGGAACACCGTGTGTGGAACTCCGGAAAGCAGAAGTGGTTTTTCACGGGCGCGTTCTGACATCCGGAAGAATAAGGATCCATCCTGGAAGGAGTCAAGGTAGTGCAAGAGATGCCACAACCTAAGGATGTCAAGACTGTTAGGTGTTTAAACGTCATAGTGAATTATTTGAGCCGGTTCTTTCCAAGACTTACCGAAATCATGACGCTCATTTGGTTACTAACTCACAAAGGTGTAAAGTGAAGTAAGGGAGAAGAGTAGGGGGTTGCCTTTCCAACCATCAAGAGTATTATTAGCTGTTCACCAATACTTCTTTACTATGATCCAACTCTACCATTGGAGGTGCAGTGGGACAGCAGCCAAAGCCGAATAGGTGCCGTTCTCCTGCTGTTATAATTGAGGGACGCCTCTGTTATGATTGCGTAACGCCTGATAAGCTTGTCACTGGCACGGTTGGAGCACGCCTACTGTAACGGCTTGTAACGCTAGCCAATCGAACGGATTTGCGTTAACCTGATGGCGTGGCTTAGCCCGGGGTACGCGCTGGTGAGACGGAAATAGACCGAGAGTGAGAACCATCCTAGCCGCACTGATTCGGATAGATGTTGAGCCTCGGGACGCACGCACACGAGAGGGGGTTACGGTAGACGCGCGCTAATGACTTAGACGCGAAGGCTGGCCAGCTAACGACTCACACAAAATCACGTGACCCGACCGACTCCAAATTAAAACGAAGAGTAAAGAAAGGCAGGCTTTCCTTTGAAGACTCTTTTGTGACCAACAAAGGGCGAATCGCAGCCGATGCTATGGGACATTAAGTTAGGGAAAACAGTCACCACGAAGAGGTGGTAGTTTGCAAATGACCATTGTCAAAAGGTGCGCTGTTGGGCCGCGTCTTGGAGTGGCTTAACTCTACTACGTTGTGAGGAGGAATTGAACCTCGCTTTCCACAGCCGTTCTGCCGGGGTTTCTGGCGCGCTTTTGCGGGAATATTTGTGGGGCCCGCAACGCGTGCAGGATGGTAAACCCTTCGATTCGCGCAATCTCGCGCTCAATGTGACAGAACAGCGCTATACGCAGATCGAAAAGGAGATTCTCGCAGTCGTCTACACAATAGAGCGATTCAACGACTACAAATTTGGAAGGAAGACTACAGTGTATTCTGGCCACACACACGCTGCCTTTCGGCAAGCTTTTTGAAACGAAGGCTTTGGTTGAGAACCCTAATCGTTCTCCTGTCTAGGCCTGGGCAACCTGACAGTATCCTGCCCAGGCAATGTAATGAATCGCACTTCAAACAAATTTCTAATGCTCTGGCTACCGCAGAGGATAATCAGCGGTGCCCTATCTGCTGCATCTGGCAGGGTGGATAGAGATTTGGAAGCTACTGCTCAAGCCTGCCCGTCTTCTTATTCCCCCTCTTGCGGTTTTCCACCCTTATCGTCCCGCTCCAGCTTCACTTTTATTCCCCTGTTTTCAACCCACCAATTCTCGGCCCTCCCCCACCTTGCTTCAATAGTCGCTTGCCTTTTAGTTTCAACTCACATGTGAAGGCGGAGCGTCATTCATGCCCTATCAACATGCCCATGTCCAAGCAAGCGGCCCATTCCAGTTCATCGGCTTCCATTTGGAGCGTTCAATCCTTCTTCAGATTGGCATGCCTCAATGTTCGCACATTGCTTCAGATCGGTCAACAGGCAGTACTTCCCCGAACATTGGAGATCCTCTCGATCGATATCTGCTGCTTATCGGAGACCCGACTGCAAGAGTCGAATTCTGTGCTCACTCTGCGATTCCCTTCATGTGACACCAACAGCACTTTCTCACGGCGCCTATCCAGTGACGATGCAACTGCGAGCACCGGCCAAGCTGGTGTTGGCATTGCCTTGAGTCCCCGGGTTGAAGCTGCTCTGGTTGATTGGATTCTAATCAGTAGCCTGCTGTGTGCGGTCCGATTAGCTGGCTCATTCAAAGCTTCGAAGTCGTGCGGGACTAACAGGTGTTTATTCATCATCGCTGCCTACGCGCCCGCAAACTGTAGCGGTGATTCGGTAAAGAACGACTTCTATCGCCAAATGACCCAGCTCCTTCGCCACAGAATAAGCACGGACACTGTTGTGCTGGCGGGGGATCTGAACGCACAAGTTAGAAAGTTGTCCAATGCTGAAATACATCTGGGCGGTCAGCACGGTGGAGGCTCTCCTAATGATAAGAGTGAGCGTTTACTTCGTTTGTGTGAAGATGCCCGCTTATTTCTTGCGAGCACTAACTTCCGACACAGCACCCGCCGGAGGGTGACTTGGCGCGCACCAGCCTCGAACCAGCCTTGGACTCAGATCGATCACATTGCTATCACTTACCGATGGAGAGGCTGAATCCAGAACTGTCGCTCGATTTGGAGCACATGTGTGGACACCGATCATGCACTTGTATGTGCTGACATGCGGATGCGTTTTGGTGGAGGCCCACGACGACGCTGTTAGCGCATTGACACCAACCAACTGACAAAGCCAGCTGTTCTGAATGTCTATCAAAGTACGCTGATGTGCGAGTTGAGTAAGCGCTCACTGGAGACAATCGATGGTCACTGGTCACATGTTCACCAGACCTTACTAGCACAAGGCAAATCCTCATGTGCTAAATCTAATAGACAACATATATATTGGGTCTTTTCTCGGTCTTCGGAACTTATCGATGCTTGCCGGCATATCCCGACTGGAAGCGGACACAATGAAACTCGCAAAGAGCTCCGGGCAAGACTCCGTGCTAGCTTGAAGAGAGACCGTGAATCTCGGTGGTCTCATCACGTGCCAGAGATGGAAGTGGCCGCTACCCTTGGCAACCATCGAAAGTTATTCCACCTGATACGGGAAATGGGCAGCAGGAGACCTGGTGTTATTGACAAAATTTGTGACGAGAGTAGACAACCTATCCACAATTTGTCAAAACGTTTGGAGCGTTGGGCTGAGCATTTTGAAAAGCAATTTAATCGGTTACAATTGTTCGATTCTTCGCCGGCCAGTGATCGCCCTGCTCCGTGGACTGACCAATTGGATCCGCCGTCTCGCTCAGAAGTCGAACGTGCGATCCGACTGTTGAAGTTGAACAAAGCCGCGGCACCAGATGATCTTCATCCAGCCCTCCACAAAATCGAAGGCTCTGCTTTTGTTGATGCTGTACATGAACTACTACTGAAACTGTGGGAGAAGAGAACTGTCCCAACCGACTGGAGCCGCTCGGTTATTGTTCCCATCTTCAAAGGAGGTTCGCGTTCGGAATGCGGCCATCATAGAGGAATCAGTCTGATCTCCATCGCCTCCAAACTACTCGCCTCCGTACCCCTTCGCAGACTGACTGTCACTCGTGAAAGCCAGATTCGTGAGGGGCAAGCCGGGATTCGTCGGGGTCGTGTCTGCATCGACCACATCTTCATGTTGCGTCAGTTGTTGGAGTACTGCCACACATATTGGCGGTCCACTGTAGTCGTGTTCCTCGATATCAAACGTGCATTGGATTCGGTTGATCGATGTGCCCTTTGGAATTGTCTACTCAGAAAAGGTGTGCCCGAGAAATATGTAAATATTATCCGAGCATTATACTTGCGTAGCACTGGCAGAGTGAGGGTTTAGAGTAAGCGGTCGCCGACCTTCAATATCTCCAGCCGTGTGAGACAAGGATGCCTGTTGTCACCTTTCCTCTTCAACTTCGCCGTTGACGAAGTCATGAACATTGCATTTACAGGACTTGACTCTGAATGTGTGGAGTTACTTCCAGGAGAACGACTTCTTGACTTGGAGTATGCAGACGACATTGCCCTCATTTGTGACAGCTCCCAGACGTGCCAAGCGGTACTAGACAGATTAGCACTGGCTGTCAGCCGCTTCGGGCTTTACTTTGCACCATCGAAATGCGTTCCTCCAGGATTGGCAGCGATCGCCTCCTGCGCTGACCGTCGGTGAGGATCAGGTAGAAATCGTTCGGTATTTCAACTACCTGGGAAGTTGTATCAGCGCTTTTGGGATCGAAGATGAGATCACGAACCGTATATAAAAATCTCGACGTGGATTTGCTATTCTTCGCCACCTATGGCGGCGGCGCGACATTCCTCTCGCCCTGAAGGGTAGAGTGTACAATGCAGCGGTACGTTCGACGTTACGGTACGGTTGCGAAACCTGGCCCCTAAGATCGGCGGACATGAAGAGGCTACTTACGTTCGACCATCGGTGTCTTCGCAGTTTGGCTCACATCTGGTGGGAACACCGCGTGAGTAACGAGCGTGTTCGACGCCTTGTTTATGGCACAGGAAAAGCAACTGAACCGCTCAACCCCGTCATTTCACGCAGCAGGCTCTGACGGCTCGGCCATGTGTTGCGCATGCCATCATACTGACTTCTGCGACGTGTGTTTTTTGCTCACCGTGGGTGTGAATGGAAGAAGAGGAGGGGTGGCCAAGCGATGACCTGGTCCAGAGGAATGAAGTCCCTCACGTCGGAGCTGGCCTCGGTTGGAGCGTCACGGTTCCCTGGTTGGGGTCCAAAAAATGGTGAGCACGTTTGGCTGGATACACTTGCTGACATGGCAAGGAGCCGACCTCAGTGGCATTCCTGCAGTGAGTTCCTTTGTCCCTCCCCATCGCTTTTAGCCTTCCCTCCACCCATGCTCTCATTTCGTAGCGTAAAACATAATAATTTTGCATGTTGCTTGGTAGCCGACTGGTAGCTTACCATAATCATGCCTATCCGTTGCTGGTAGCTCAGCTGGCATGCAACGGTTGTACTTATTTTTCTTTTCCTTTATGCATTGCGGCACAGTAGCTGAGATACTTCCCCCGTCTATCTAACGTGTATAATTATGATGATGATGGCCACAATCTGCTCGAGTCAATAACCATTAAACCGTTTAGCAGTGTCCCTCTGCGTCTTCCACGGATGCTTATCCGCCTCCAAATATACGACATTGTTTTATTGTACACTTCCTGGACCCAAATGTTTATCGCGGACACGCTGTCCAGAGCTCATCTTCCGATAATCGAACTCCAACAGGAAGAATTCGAGGCAGTCGATCATGTACAATATCTGGCAGTAACTACAGATCACCTGAAAGTGATAAAGCGTCATACGGAGGCAGCCGTGACGTGAATGGCTTTGCACGACGTGCTTTTGAAGGGATGGCCAGATACGAATGATAAGGTTCGAATGAACTGAGGTTGTGGGGTGAACTAACGGTGTATGATAGTTTGCGGTTTAAAGGAATGCGCCTTTTTTATCCCACCGCCCTTTCGCAAATAATTTCTGGAACACATTCATCGTGCCCATTTGGGTGTCAACTACAATATTAATAGAGCACGCGAACGGCTGTTCTGCCCCGGGATGACAAGTCAAATCGGAGACCATGTATCAAGCTGTTCAGCCTACCGGTCCCAGGATGCTTGCCAGCCGATGAACCAATGGTGTTGCGTGAGATTCCAGTCCGACCATGGCAGAAAATAGCGATGGACTTGTTCTGTGACAGCATGAAGGACTATTTAATCACTGTGGACCATTACAGTGACTAGTTTGAGATCGACCCACTCACCGCTACCACCACGGAAGCAGCTATCAACAAGCTTAGATGTCAGTTTGCCGGACACGGAATACCGGATGAACTGACCTCCGACATTGGTCTGCAATTTACAGGTGCTGCGTTCCAGATCTTCGCGAACAAGTGAGAACTTTCGCATCGACAGACGAGCCTTTATCACATTCAGTCTAACGGAAAAGCGTAGGCAGCGGTCCAACAAGCCAAGACGCCGTTGTCGAAGTCAGAGCTGTTCGTGAGGACCCATATCTAATGTTGTTGGAGATTCGCAATATGCCTTTACTGAACATCGGTTTAGTCCAGTACGACGTTTATACAACAGAAGGACAAGAACCCCGATGCCTGGGACAGCTGAGCTCTTACACCCTGTCTTGTCATCGCATGAGCAACTGCAAAGGGGCTTAAGAAAACGGACGGCAGATCAGAAACGATATTATGACCGCGAGACCCGGGCGCTACCGGAGCTATCAGTAAATGAAAAAGTGCGAATCCACACAATACCGGGCGTCAGCGAGCGATGGAAGAAAGGTCTGGTAACCGCGAAGGTTGAAGTCAGTAACTTAGGAAAAGTAATCAAAAGGAACCGAGTGCAGCTGAGGTGACACCGGGAACGAGAAGACGAAACTGCAACAAGACGTTTGACGCCTTACAAAGAGGTCACAACGACAGAGGCAGCAAAGACGACGCGTAGCGGAAGTGAGTACGGGGTCTTCAGCAACGTCGATGCAGCTGATCTCGAATACCCGAAGGATGTGTTAGGGTTGTGCAAACAAACAGAGCAGTTTGGTGGACAGCTACACATATTTCCTCTACCTGCTGATTGGCTCACTGGAACGGGTTTGTTTAACTGATTCAAAGGAAGACTGTCATGCGTTTAGCAGGGTCGTTAATTATGGAAATGACTTATTTATTTATGTCAAGGTTCCTACATGCTTGCAAAGCTGTCAATTTTGCTGAGCTCGATTTGCCGAATAATCCGTCTGTTTCTGAAAGACCGAGTTTTGCAACACATGTCAACTCCTGTAAACAGTTTGAATCTTAAATACTCACAGATGTTAGCCATCCCCTCCACAGAGCTTTGTTCGAATGCTTCTCAACCTCCTCCTCCACCAGAAATATCTACAAAACTATATACGCCCGCACAAGAGTCTATGGTACATCAGTTCCTTTTCATTTTTGTTTATTAACGATAAAATTCAGTCATGCAAGAACTGATTAGTGAATTACTCTAGCGATATTTGTTCTGCCAGATCTCTTTTTCAATGATCGTGGTTTTATATCTATCATCATGTGCTATCCCTTTTTACTGTTTATCCCATTCCGTGGCATGTGTATTACAGCTGAATATTCACCCAAGGGTGCATAAAGCACATTCTTGACTTGACTTGAATCGACTTGTGATATGCTTACAAAACCTAGGGCTTATTCATGAATGCTTTCCATGTTAAACTAGAAACCGGGTCCTCTGTTCCGATGCTGATCTTACGGAACTTGAACATCCGTGCGCTTTCGACAAAAGCAATAAAGTTTAAGTGGGGGTCATTTTGGAATACTCGTCGCGTAGCACACAGTTCATTCACCTATTCCTAGTTTGATCGTCAAGCTTCGTCATGACTGCTTCCCATCCTTGTCTCACCTTTATTAGCTTTGGTCATACAATTATGCCTCAGTTACACTCACGCCACTGAGCCACTAGTCGCAAATATTTCAATGATCCTCTACCTAAACCGCTTTTCGCTCAAGTATTGTAAGCCATTTATTCTACTTGGCCGTGTGTCGGTAATTCACCATCTCGTTCTCAGTCGCAATGATTATTTGCCTCTGCATGTACTCCGGCTCGCACGTTTACTCTGTCTGCCTGGCCCCATTGTACGGGTGCCGTATAATCCGCCGCTAACCTTATAACTGTGATGGTGGGTAGTGGTGTCCAGTTGTAGACTACTTCTGAGGCGTTAGTCCAGTGTGGTTCCGTTTTCTATATTTTATTGTTTGGGAATCCTTGTGGCCTGTATTCTTGTTTATCCTATACTTATTAAGTAGTACGTTGTTAAAAATTTTATTTTAAGATATTCATCCCAGCAGCTCACAAGCTACATAGCCCAGCGTAGTCCGGAAAAGCACCAGACGCGTTTCGCCCTATTGAGGCTCGTCAGTGGTGCGCATTCCCTCGGTCCCCTACTGGGGATCGAAGCCATGACCACTGGGGGACGATGCCAACTAACCAGCTAGCCACTCAGTGACAGTTTAAGATAGGTTGTGCTGTATCCCAGTTTGCTTGCAAATTATATAGCCCAGCCAACGTCCCCCATGGCTCAGTGGCTTAAGCTACTGGGTGGTTGAGGTCAGCCCCTAGCGGTCATGGGTTCGATCCCCAGTAGGGTGCCGAGGGAATGCGCACCACTGACGAGCCCCAATAGGGCGAAAGGCGTCTGATACTTTTCCGGATTGGGTTGTGCTATGCATCGTGTGAGCTGCTGGAATGAATACCTTAAACTTTTAATTACAACTAAAATCCTGCTACTCACGAGTAGTACCTTGTTGAGGCTGTTGAATATTCCTGGGGTTCCCGCGTTACCCAACTCGCCTAAGCAAAGTATCGCCCTCGTTGGGTGAATTGATTGCGACACGCAATCTCAGGCAGGACCGTAAGGTTAAAGTTTGTTTTTTTGCAAATACATGGGTCACATTTCAGCGTATATTTTACTTCTGACAATTGGGAGGTTGGGGGCCTGTTCAGTTCTCATCGGGGAAATTGCTTCGGCGGAGATGACCACTCTTTATGCGAAGGTTACCAAGGGGGAATGAATTTGGCGAAACAGGGAATGCGATCTTTTCTAAGGACATGTGTATCAAGTTCTTGGTTTACGTTATCCTCTTTTTAACTCTTTCTTTTAATCTATATGGAAACGACAAAACAAGCTGTGTGCTTATCAGCTGTGTTGTAGGAACTGTTGTGATACCACAGTTGGTTCTTTCCGTTCGCCTTACTTGGTCGAGTGACAGCGTTTGGTTCTATCAAAACAAGCTTTCATCATTCTTTTTGTTAGATGGAAGACGCTGCTCAAACAGATGGGGAGTTAAACCCCAAAGAGACAGCCGAGCTTATCAGAAAAGTGGAAGAGCAGTTTTTCAAGACGATTGAAAGTAAACGCAAGGAGAGAGAAGCCAAAGAGGCTGCAGCCGCTGCCGCTCCAATCACAGAAAAAGAAGATGAGGTAGATCGAAGATGGAAATTTCTAATGTTCGTTTATTCAATCCATCCTTGCCTTACTGTTTGGCTTATCGAAGGTCTAAAAATAGCGTCCAACTCACGAAGCACTATGGCTACCCTGTTTTGTGGTAGCTGTGCAACTACGTTTTAGTATCGTTTGATAAAGGTGGTTCACTTCTTGGTCAAATTTTTCTGCATGGCGACAAGTGCAGGACGATTGTCGATGCTATCTAAATAATTCTGAAGCATGCGTTACAGTTCAAAATGGGGGATTTTGGAGTCACAGAGCTGAATTTCATTGATACGCCTGATTACATTCCTTGGGAAAAGTACCCATTAGCCTCGGCATGTGGGTCCATATCTGTGGCGCAAGACGCTGCACAATGGTTTGAGACAATTGAGGCGCGTTTTCGCAAATGAGCTGACTTAGCTAAGATATTTTACGTGATAGTATCGTATTGCCAATCTGTGACACTGAAGTGACTCACCTCAGGCCTTGTCATAAATTCGCCTTACACAATCTACTGGTTGGTAATGTAGTAGTTTACGTATCAGTTTGGAGGTGATTCTGTGTTGCTGCTCCCAACGTGGACACCCCATGATCGACGGTTTCGTCCCCGTTTGGGCTCATCAGGTGAAGATAGCCTGAGCCGGGGTGGAACTCGAAACCTATGGGTTGACGTATCATCTTGCTTGTTAAGATAAGTGAATCAACATTCGCTGTGTTTCCCTGTCTACTCGGCTGCTCATGTGTGTTTACAATTAAATGGGAGTACAAGATGGTGATTGTTTTCACATTCCTGTACCTTCAGATTATTTGGACTTGCCTAGGTGCATTTGTGGCAGCTGCACAGAAGTTACCGTGTGATTGTGCGTATGCGTCAGATGACATGAACGGTTTACCTTTGGGCATCATATGCAATTTATTGGATTAGGGTGCTTCCAGTCTTTACATCGTTATCTTAAGAAGGCCTACACAACTCTTGGAATTACTCAGAAAATTAATTGACAGCGAGCGTAGGGTTAGTTGATGGCAGGAATACGTGAATTGTGGGTGAAAGAGCGACCAATGTCTGGCCATCTGATTGTGGCGCACATTGGCATATTTGCACGCATATCTACCTCGTGTTAGTGATCCTACTGGGTGTAGGCGTTATTGGTCGACAATGTTTTGTTGGCAGCCTGACCTTATTTACGGAAACTCCAACCAACTTGAACACCAACATCGAAAGATAGGACCGCTAAAGTACCGTCATGGTTTCTCTAGTCCCAATTATGCTCCAAATGTGTCATCTAAGCACGTTTTTTGTACCTTGTATACTCCGTCCTATTAAGCAACCTTATCAACGGGCGACGTTTGAGCACACTTGTACTTATTCTACTCATCGATGTGCCTTTCTTCTTTGTGCTACTTCGGCGATGCTACTCGCGGAAATGGTGGTTGATAATGCGCAGCATATCACAATACCTGAATGACCTTACAACCTCGTCCATCTATTCAGCTGTCCAATTAAACAGCTTTGGTTCTCGAACCACCCAGGAGGTAGCTCCAAGATGCACTTGGAGAATATGTACTAGTGGCTCATTAGTCATGAGTGGCCTGTACGATCTAAAAGTGGATCAGGGTTGCTGTGTACACTAGTGCCCTCACCACTGCTGATTAAATGTGAAGAGAGTTGTCTTTGTTCACATGAGCCAGAGAGGACAGCAAGAAAGTGTTCAGTACCTAGCGAAACACCTGTAGCGGGTAATCTCATTGATTGGCAAATTCCTCTCAAACGTACCCTCGGTTGTCACTTGGACCGTACTTCTCGGTTATTCAGTGAAGCTTCTTCGTAGTTGAGAAGACCACTCGTTCGCAGAACCGTGTCCTCAAAGAACCCGGATGTTTTGAGCAACCTTTTGCAATGCTAACGGTTCCACACACCCACACCTTTGTCCAGTGGTTCACCACTTGTTTGTGCCTTTATTCCCTCCACACTTATGACGCTGACCTTAGTTTAAGTTGTGTCGATTGTAACAGATGCCCCCTGAACCAATGCGACATGGCGTTGTAACATTGTTACCACATTCTCTGATCTATGTGTAGGCCATCCATGTGACCTTAGCCTACTGCCTTGTAGGTGTATGCTTCACGTTCCCTTTCTAATCTCTCCCACGCCATGTGAGTGGACCGTAATGATTGGGCGCTGTGAATTTGCTAATAATCTCACATAACACTGTGTTCACTTGTGTCTTGGCTGTTTGCTTTGAGCAGTGGTTTCGACAGTAATTTTCAGCCCCGCCCGTTGACTGCATTCTGTCTTTGACGGTGATATTCCGGGATGTTGAGTGATTGACGTTTGCTCAATTTCATTTATTGTATATATTGTAATGGTATTGTAGACATTGCGATCCAAACTTGTTAAGATTTCGATATCATTGGCTACGCGTTATTCAAGAACGTTCGATTGGCGGTTACAAAATCCAGAAGTCAAAATACACTACCTATTGAATGCTTGACCAGAGCCGGTTGTCCTTATTTCTGTCAGCCTCTGAGCTTGGCGGATTTCATTTGCCTAGGGTGCAAATCCTGGACAGAATTAACTAGATTGTTGGATGGGGACTCGCTGAACAACTATGATGACGCCAACTAGCGGATCTGTTGTAATAGTGTGCTAAATTCTCTGAAATAGGTTGAGATACGCCACCCAAATCGGTGCCTGGGATGAATCCTGGTTAAGCCAATGGCGCCATCTCATACGACTCCTAATGTCTACCTGCTAGCTTATCCGCGTGATGCTACTGGTAATTCCCAATACTCTCAATCATTTGTAATTTTCTACCTTTCTAAATCACACTCTTTCGTTTTACTGTTGTTGTTTGACAGTATGGTGAGATGGTTCTTTTAGCCAGACTTATTTCCTTTCGTTCCTCTAACCACATTTGCCAAGTTTCACCGAGACGTGTTTTGAATCTCGGCGTTAAAGCAACTATATTCCGTGACAGTTACCACCCATTACTCATCACATTTGTCCAGTCGACAAGGGATTTACCCGACGCTAGGAATTCTATGAACACCTGAGGACCATTAGGTCCTCAGGGTGTTTTATTTTAAGATCATTTTCCTGCAAAGCCTACCATTGAATTATGACCAAATCACGGTCCGATTCACTAGCAGTAAATCCGTTTTTCTTTTGATGTCTAGCCGGATGGCGTCGAAGTGGAAGATCAAGAAAATGTGTCTTCTTTGGATGATGAAAAAGAAGCGGAAGAGTCAATAGGCGATCCGGAGCCTACTACGCCAGATGAAGAAACTCCTGCAGACACTTAACTATACGAACCATGATATAACCTTGTTCGAATTAATAGAAACCGTTTTTGTGATTTGGAGATGAATCACATGCTGTATGTCTACATGAGATAGATAAAGATTGCTGTTTGCAGCCACGAGCTGCCATTGCCGAGTGCTGTACCGTTATTCAGATTGGGTCAATAATTCGGAATATTGCAACTGTCTATATATATGGCTGGAACTGAGCCGTACTGTCCGAATTTTCTGGATGATTAGCCTTACCGAAACCGACCTATGTTCCACTGACTTGTTTTCCATGTGATGGAGCCCCTTTTCTTTGTCTTTAATGCTTGCCAAATGGTGGTTATTCACTCTAGAAAGTGGCATTTATAAATGTTAGTGTTTCCTCTGTACCAGAAACAAAACTCCGAAGCTAGATTTCGACACCTCACTACCATTGATGAAGAAAGTACTGACTGTACTTGGCAAGGTTTCTGGCAGGCCAAATTTGAGTTGCAGTTTCAACGGCATGTCGAATATGCACTACAGTTTATGTGCTGGACTTTTTCATATCAACACTTGTTCTGCTGGTATGGTTCAGTCATTAAAATCACTTAGGTGCAAGCTTCAGTTATTACCCATATACGCTTTGCTGATACAACTTTGCTTCAAGCTCACATTAATACTAATGCGGCGCAATAAACATAATATCGTAATGGGATTGATCGTTAAAAGATAAAAGCTCCAAGCATTGCAATACATTTCCATGCAATTGTCAGTTTCCACGGGTCGGGATGAAACCCAATTGCCAGGAAAGCAGCAAACAAGTCCAGTAGTAAGCAGGGAATATCATTCCTACCGTATTTTAGAACTACCGAAAGGATTTTTTCTGGACCTGGATGAAATATACTCTTTAAAGCGTCAACATGACGCTTGATGGAACCAGTGTCAATAGCTACGTAAAAGACACATCACCCATAGTACTACTTGGGATTATATATATATATATATATATATATATATATATATATATATATATATATATATTTGGCGGCATCCGGTTTCGGATTTGCATGTCACTGTGGCCAGCCACAGGACGCCTGCGCCTACAGAGGGACCATGGGTGGATTGCGATGCACCGACCACAACTCCAACCACACGCCCCATTTCTAGTGTAAACCCCAAGGGATAAAACCATGAGGCATGTGGATGGGAGCCACGTTTCATCAATGGAGCCGACCCACACTCCTTCACAGACAAACAAAAGCAAGCTGTATTTTTGGAATCAAGCGCACACAAGGCGGTGGCTGGACCGTAGTCCGCTCCATACTGAGTGAATGGAACCACTCTTTGATCATAACACGGCCACAAGGACTGTGCACCCCGTCCCCTCCAGCAACGAGCAACTGTCTTCTAGTGCCAATATGGACGAGGTAGTGGGTAATGGACAGGTAGACACCTTGTCAACATGCACCTCAAACAGCCACACCGGGGATATCAAGCAACATCCAATCACTTGAAACGACAAGCTGAAATAAAATAAATCGAATAATGCATACGGATACGGTGGCAGAACTCTTTGCTAAATTAGCATATGAAGTAAGTTGGTCAGCAAAGAATCCGAGAGCAGTACAATGTGTCCACAAGTTACTTAAAGGTGCTACAACCGCGACAAAGTTACCGAAGATAAGCGCAATTAGCGTAAGCAACGTGGCCAGTTACTAGAAAATAATTCAGGTAGCCAGAACAAACAAATAAAGTGGAATGAAATTTATCCAGCTTAAAGAGACGTAGTTTAAGTGTAAGTTGGTGTAGCCCAACTGCGGTGAAGAAGCATCAAGTATGCAACATCAGCCTCAGCATGGGGCATATATATATATATATATATATATATATATATATATATATATATATATATATATATATATTAGCAGAAGTCTTTAATATAGACATAGAGCCAGCTAAAACCGTGAAGTGTAGGTGATGATTACAAAGAACACAAAGAAAAATGGATGACAATTCTAAGAAAGCTATTTTCTTCTTGCTACTTGTTTGTCTTATTTTCACACGCCGTTTCGTTTTTTTGTCTGTTTAGAGATGTAGATCAAGAAAAGCAAGACAAATGTGCATACAAATTTTCCATTGCGCTAGGTTCTGCGTCATGTCCGAAAGAGTTCAATCAGCGGTGTTATTCATTTTTGTTCCCCATCCCGGAACACACACGGGACCTATGGCAAATAAACTTGAATCCTACGCTTTAATCGTTTGTAACCATCTGATAGGTGAGGCTGTTGTAGACGAGATTTCGATGCGCACATCGAGAGCACGCCTCGCTTTTTCTAGGCTGAGTCACATGTGGTGTCGCCACGACATTCGTCTCTCCATCAAAGGGCGGGTCTATTGTGCAACTGTTCGTGCTGTACTGTTGTACGGATGCGAGACTTGACCCATTTGTGAAGATGACTTGAGCAGGCTATCCATCTTCGAGCACCGCTGTCTGCGGTCCATTGCCCGTGTGTGGTGGTGGCACCAGGTAAGCAATGTGCAAGTTAGACGGCGTGTCTTGGGACGTGGAAGCCACTCGCTCGAGGAGCTCGTCTCACTGCATCAACTGCGGTGGTTGGGACACGTATTGTGCATGACTGTCCAGCGTTACCGGCGTCGTGCGTTGTTTGTGGTTGGTGAACAGGGCTGGAAGAGATGGTCTGGTGGACAGCCTACAACTTGGAGAAGCCGCATGAAAAAGCTGACGAAACAGTTGACATCGCCCGGTTGTAGTCGATTACCTGGTTGGTGTCTGAGAGATGCAGATACTTCCTGGTTGAAGACCTTGGAAGCCATGGCTCAAGATCGATGTCAATGGCAGACGTGTACATCAGTGTGTTGCCGTGTCCCTTCTTCCTCCCCCTAAAAAAACAAACTAAAATACGATTTCAAAAACTGTGAATGTTAAACTGGACAGAAATGCTTTTGAAGGGTGTTTGTGAGGAACGTAATTCTTTTGTTGTTGTTGTGTTTTCTTATCATTCATACGGTTGTCCTATTCAGCCATAATTGCAATTGCACAATATCTGTACCCCAGATTGTGTTTTATATATATATATATATATATATATATATATATATATATATATATATATATATATATATATATATATATATATAAGTGGCGGGAGAGCCTATGGTGCGCTGAGGCTGGTGGTGGCTAGATCCTGACAGATGATCTACCCACTGCTGCTACTGTTGCATCATTGGCTCATGTCCTGGACGCCTCCTCGTGGCGACAGCTGCCTGGGAGTTGGGTTTCGCCCTTCTCCCTGCAAAGATCCAGGACACCATCCGCATGAGTCAGTGGACTGACCATGTGCTAGACACGCTGCCTTCCGGTGTACATTTAATCGAATGCTTTGGCTGAGGAGCCGAGTCCTTCTCTTGTCGGGTATGGGCGCCCGGCCAATATCCTAGTCCGTTGTCTTCGGAGGTTAGGAAGTGGTCGATAGCCCACTTTTCGTAAAACCTAGCCATGGGAAACAACAGGTCTACGAGTTATAAGCTCGGAGCTCCATTGGCGTAGAGCACGAGCGCTACGCATTGTCTCTGACGGTGGGAGGACAGCTGCGGGTGTTTGATGGTTTGCTACTGCCCGCCTAAAGCCATACAGCCCCTGATCAAATTAGGGCAAACCCACCAAAACCCAGCTGCCTGTGGCCGTGGTCGCAGGTGCGTATCCTACTACGGTCGCAAATATATATGAATCGTTCCAGTACCTTAAAGGCTGCGGGTGACGGCCATAAAGCAGATCCCAATCTTTCTCTGCAATCACATTCCCGAGCTGGATCTGCTCCCCACTGCCTTGTGGGTCAGACTATTGAGCCAAAGGCTCCGGGCGGAGTCCCTCAAGCAAACCTCTGAAGCACAACGGCAACCTCGCGTGCGATTGCCCACCAATGCAATCGTATGCCTGCGCTCAAAGCACTCAGCATCGGGTGCTGGAACGTGCGCACACTACTGGACCGGAACTCCAGTGAGCACCCCGAGCGACGCACTGCCCTGGTCGCGATGGAGCTGGCACGTTACCAAATCGATATTGCGGCGCTCAGTACAACTCGGCTCGCTGAGCAAGATAAGTTAGATGAAGCAGGTGCTGGCTACACATTCTACTGGGTGGGCGACGCCGCCTCAGCACCACTTGATCATGTTGTCGGATTTGCAAACTCCGATCGCCTCCATGGCCAGCTCGTGGGTGAACCAACAGGCATCAGCGAGCGACTGATGACCCTTCGCCTACGACTCGGAAGAGGTAAGTTTGCTACTTTTATAAGCACGTACGGTCCGACCATGTGTTATCCTGATGGCACGCGTGATCAATTCTACACTCAGCTATCCTCCGTGATACGGACTGTGCTGAGGAGCGACCGACTATTTCTGCTGGGTGATTTCAACGCGCGCGTTGAGCGTGATACATCGGTGTGGGTAGATGTTATCGGTTCGCATGGCCTTGGTACAGAGAATGCGAACGGTGACAGGCTGCTCTCACTGTGTGCCACTCAAGGCCTGACGATCAGGAACACTCGGTTTGCACTGAGTGCAAGTAATATAGCCATTTGGACGCACCTACAGAGTGGTCATGCTCACCTGCTTGACTATGTCATCGTACATCAGCATGATATGCGTGAAGTGCGCATGACACGTGTACTGCGTGGAGCTGAGTGTGGCACTGATCACAAATTGGTGCGCACCAAACTGTACGTACATTTTCGTAACTCTATTTATTGCACTTCCGCCTTGATTCGACTAAATTTAACATTCTCTCCCACGGTAATGTGGCGAAACCTATTGAGCTGGAGAAGGCGATGGCTGCACGCCTGTGTGATGTGGAATACATAGCCACAGTGGGCGACCTGTGGCACCACATTCGCGACCAGGTGACATCTGCTGCCGAGGAGACCATCAGGCGCGCAAACTCTAAGCGGCCTGATTTGTTTGATGACAACAATGCGACGATTGGCGCATTGGTGTCGGAGCAGAATGCAGCATTTGCTGCACATATCACAGACCCCATTGACTTGGGGAGGAAGAGTCAGTTTCGCAATCGTCTACGGCGACTGACCCGAGAGCTCCGTCGCATGAAAATGCATGGTAGAGGGAGAAGTCGAAGCAGATGGAATGCTTCGCCGAAGGCCGTCAACACAAGGAATTCTTTGACTCCTTTAAAGCTGTGTATAGACCGAGGTTGGAGCCACTGAGTACGCTGATCGATGGTAGTTCATGCTCTACCTGCACACATACTGCAGACAGAATGCTGGATTAGCAAAAACACTTTGACTGTCTCTTGAACAACCGTTCAGAGATCGGCTGACCTACATTGAACTGCCTGAAGCAGCACAATGTGAAGACGAGTCTGGCGGACACGCCGACACTGGATGAGACGCGGAGAGCACTTGCTCAACTGCTAAACGGCAAGTGTGCTGTGGCCGACTTGATCCCGCCTGAGGTATTTAAACACGGCGGACCCGCGTTGGTGACTGCGCTGCACCACTTGGTGCAACGCGTGTGGATTGAGGAGGAGGTGCCTGCTGAGCTGAAGGATGCCCTTGTGCTGCCACTGTAAAAGGGTAAAGGGAGCATACAATGTTGCACGAATTATCGTGGCACCAACTTGCTGAGTTGTGT